GGAAAAAGCTCCCTTTGGTCGTCTGAACTGAACCTTACCACAGCATATACATACATACATTAGGGCGAGTAAATTTTTTTTTTACTATATGCTAATAGTATAGGAGAATTCTGCTTGTAATTCCAAGCAAATTTGCCGAAGTAACCATGGGTCTAAAATAAATTATGAGTTTGCCAAATTGCGAAAATAAGTTTCCAAAAAAATATGAAAGTTATAAACTGTTGCGCCCTCTGGTGGAGCTTTTAAGAACATGTAAGATAAGTGCAGAAATTGATATAAAAAAAAAAATTAAGCACTTGTTTACGACACGAAAAACCCTATTTTCGCACGTTGGCAAACTCCAAATGGGTTTTAGAGCTATGGTTTCTGTTGAAAATTTGCTTAGAATTACATTTGTGCTATGAGCGCATGGTCGAAAAAATGTCCTATATATATGCACATGTAGGTATGTAAAACGCACAACATGTATTCGCTTGTATGCAAAATCGTCTGCCAGTCATGCATCAGTCGCAGATGGATGAGAGAATGACGACAACACCAACGACCAGCCATGCGCTTCATTGCTAGCCAAATGACCGAGTCGAACGCTTTTAAATGCGCGACCACAACAACGACTCATTGACGTTGTTGGTTGATGCGCGCCGCACGGCAACCTAAACGTTAGCAATGCAGCTAATATCTATCTGTGTACGAATCATATGTAATACTAATATGTAAGGCTCGCTGTTGTTGTTGTTGTTATTGTAGCATTTTGCCTGCAGGAATATAGACTACACAACGATTTACATGTTGCGATTTATTTATGGTATGTTTACATATGCAGATTTAGTTAGTTTTACGAGGAGCGAGCAGTAAACTACTTTGTCTGCTGCTATTTATTAATTTTTTTTCATTTTTCATTTTTATTCGTGTGCTATTCTTATGATGGTGCACATGTGTATATGTATATTTTTTGCCTAGGTTTTTCGTGGCGCCTATCGTTTGCGACGTTGTCTCAGATAGTTCCTGCTTTTCAGTGCGCATAAACGGTCATGCGCATCCACTTCACGTAGAAGCGCTACTCACTCGTACATACCATATAAAATTATTATTATTCATTTAGAGCAACGAAGTTAACGGCGGGGTAGACAGAAATGAAGAGGAAGAGCTGAGGAGCAGGAAAAAAATTTACATGACTTTGATATTATTATGCCATGCATATGTCGGACATAAATGGCAGCTAATAGTTATGGGCTACTGCTAGCGCTGTGTGGCGCTACACTGTGAGAAAGAAGTTTATTTATTGTTTGCTAAGCCTAAACGTGACGATCGTTGAGATGCGCAATGAAATTTTTCTCACTAATATGGCTCGCTTTGAACTTCGTTGCACTCATTTGTGTAAGGTTTTGGTAGCTGTAATGAAAGTTTTTTAAATTTTTTTTAATTTATTTTTTTTGTCAATAAGACAGTTCTTCCGCATTTGTGTACTCATCACGACATTTTTTTTTGTGTTTTGTGCGCAACTCAGTAGTCGCAGCATGTTTGTTGTTGTTTTCATTACGCCATAAATCATCAGCTTACAAATAACAACATTTTATGCCCTGAACCAAAACAAATGTTAAGCTACAAATTAGCTTAGCTGGCAGTGGGTTAGCCACCGCAACCACCAGACGCCAGCCACCAGCCACCAGCCACCAACCATCAGCCACCATGCAACAAACGGACGACTAACAGCTGCCGACTAATGCTGGCAATCAAGCTTGTGAAAAATTACACCAGCTACCAAAGAAATCGGAGTAAAAATGTGATGTAAAGGACGGTACTTGCAAAATCCCAGCGTAGCAAGTAGTTGAGTGGGCAAGCCAATTGAGGCCGTCGCGCAGCCATTCACTCACAGCCGCGGCGGTAAGCAACAAGAAGGCAACAGGCAACTAGCGGGCAAAGCTGGCAAACAGCCACCCAATTGACCTAATAACAGCATTAATCTGTGTTATTTTGGCGCATTTTGTTAATGCTCGTAACGAAATGGCAACAGCAACAACATAGGCACGGCTGAGATTTTGCGCGCTGGACTGAATATGCAAAAGGCAGCAACAAAAACAGCAGCGAACGTGTATCAAGATGCCAACTTTATTTCGCTCCAAATGAGCTAAAAAGAGGGGGGAGCTAGCCACAAAAGCTTGTTGGCAGAATGTGGCAAATAAAACAAACAAACAAAAAAATAAAGAAAGCAACTAAAAAATCGCAAGTAGGAAATAAATGAAACTTAAATAAATCCAGAGAAATGGCAGAAAGCACGACAGCAGCAACAGGTTGCTCATTGCACAAACAACTGGCAGGCGAACAAGCGTAGGACAAGCACCGGCTACATGTGACAGGCAACATGCATGCTAGGGTGGTCCTTAAAAATATTAAAATTTCTATATTGTGTATGGCACGACCCTTTATTTTGTTGTACGTTTACAATAAGGACACTCGCGAAAATTTCAAAATTATAAAATAATTTTTAAAAATATTAGAAATTTAGAAATTTTAGATATTTTGTTATCACAGAAAAAAATTCAAAAAAAAAAAAAATTCAGTTTGGGCTCAAAAGTCTTTCGTAAGAAAATTGGCAATGCTAGCAACTGTCTTAAAGGCGCTTTTCTGTCTTTCGAAGGACTAATTGGACGATCTGCTTACGAAGAGTTCTAGGCAATTTTGTGCTTGTCTTTTAGCAATAGTTTGTTTTCTAAAAATTAAACTAATTTAAAAATATATATTTAATTACTTTTTTTAAATCATAAAATTAAAATAAAACAAAAGAAGATATTACAAAAAAATAATATTCAACAATTTGTATTGAGCTTAGGCCGTTTTTAAACTATTGTGGAAAAGCAACAATTGTTGAATATATGTAATTGTTATAAGGCCATAAATAACAAAAACAAATATACATATTAAAAAAAATAATAAAACTAAAATAGACAAACATAAGTTTCTAAAAATTCAATAAAAATAAAAATGTATAACTTTTTAAAATACTAAAATCTAAAAATTAGAAAAAAATTTATAATTCGAAAGAAACAAAATGCACAAAGCTTTCAAGGATTAAATTAAATTATAAAAAAAAAATTTATTTCTTTTTAATGCCACAAAATCTAAAAATTAAAAGAAATTTAAATTTAAAAAAATATTAAAAAAGAAAAAAATTAAATAAAATAAGTCTGTAAAAATTTAATTCCATTAAAAAATTTCTTTTTAAAACAATAAAATCTAAAAATTAGAAAACAAATTAAATTAATTGAATTGTAAAAAGGAACAAAATAAATTTTTATAAAATAAACAAAATTTAAAATAAAATATATATTTTTTCCTTTTAAAACAGTACAATACAAGTTTTCATTAAAAAACGGCCTTAAACTCAATAAAATTGTTGGATATAAATAAAAGAAAAAATAATAGAGTAGAAAGAAAAAATATGCACAAAATAAATTTCTAAAAATTAAATAATATTAAAAAAAATACATTTTTCTTTTTAAATCAATTGAATTCAAAAACTAAAGAAATTTTATTAAAAAATGCATTTACAAAAGAAAAGATAAATAAAATAAGTCTCCGAATTAAAAAAAAAAAAATAAATAAAAATTCTTTTTGAAACAATGAAATTGATTTTAAAGAACATAGTAATAAGAAAAAACTTAAATTAAAAAAAGAACAATAAAATGAGTTGCCAAAAATTTAGTATGTTATCAAACGAAATTTTCTTTAAAAAAAAAATAAAAAAGTAAACAGTTTTAAAAATTTTTAATTTAAATAGTTAAAAAAAAAATTATAATAAAATCTAATAATTTCTAAGCAAAAAAACCGACCTCAATTCTCGGTTAAAAGTCGGTTAAAAATCAAAGGAAATTTAATTGAAAAAGAAAAAAAACCTACAAATACATAAAATAAGTTTCTAAAAACTAAGCGAAATGAAAAAATATATAAGTCTAAAAATTAAAAGGAAGTTTAATTAAAAAAAAATTATTAGAAAAAATATATAAAAAAATCTACTGCCCAAGTATTCCACCTTCGGATCTCTCGAATGGCACTCCAGTGCTTAGGCAGTCTGGCCTTTCACAGTGAAAGGTGGCAAGGGTGCTTTCATGCCAGAATAAACAACATCTTTCAAACTATGACAAATTCGCTACATTTAAGTTTTTTTCAAACCTAGCGACCCTTAAATATTTTGTTTTGGTGTGAAATTTATCTTTATTTTTTTAAGTAGAACATAATAAATGGGTGTCCCATACAAAATTTAGATTTTCATATATTTTGAGGACAACCCTAAATACATATAAGTATGGCAGTACTTGACATTTGGCTGGAGCAGCCGACGGGCGGCGCGATGGCGGCGACAATCTCAGCGAATTTGCCTGCTGCAGCAAATAAATTCCATTAGGCGGCAAATGAGGCGCTGACTGCAACAACAAAGAAAAAGAAAATATTGCAACAAAACTGGACGATAGCGCTTATTAGTGGCTTTAGTGGCTGAAGCTTTCTTACACCAAAGCGGCGGCGAAAAGGCTATTTCGTTCGAATGCTGGTTTTATAAGCTACAAATGCTAAGCAGAACAACAGCGGCAACGAAAGGCACCAAGCAAGAGCTAAAAAAAAAATGGAAAAAACAATAGGTAAAAAGTAAAACAAATCTAACGAGTGGCAGCAACAAAGATTAAACATTTGCCAAGCAATGTGTTAGCTGCCAACACACTTTCTAGCAACCACAGCAGCCGCAACAATATTGTCGTTGTGGCAGCAACATTACTTCTCGGACATTATTGCGCGCTTTTTTTCGAACTACATATGTATGTATGTATATATATATATGTACTCATAATTTAAGCCAGTTTCACCGCAGCGGCGTAACCGCAGCTAATTTTAATTTACCACACTGAATTTATTTGTATACTAATTTTGTTGAAATTTGTTTCCCACATCACAATCACAACAAAAAAAATTCACTAAAAATTGAACTTTTTCGCAATATTTGCTTACAGGTTGTACGAAGGTCTATACGAAGAGCTCACACCTGAAGGCGCACCAGCGTATACATACGGGTAAGTGCCTGAAATCGATTTATATTTACCCATACATTACACACCTATGCATTTAGTACTATAAATATTTATACAAATTTAAACCTAAGAGTGTCTGCGCTCGTGTAGTTATTAAGCCCTTTCTTTCCTTCTTTGTGCGCTCTTGCCGAAGCACTCAATTTAGCGATCTATAAAGTGCTTTTTTTTCAGGCCCATAATTTATGATCAATATTGTTGCTAATTAATTTAAATTAAACAAAACTTAAGTAGCGTGAAGTTATATGCCACAGCGAAGGTGTTCGAAGCAGTTGTGGTAAATGTAAAATTCATGGTGTTTCGAAAAGATACAAAATCAAAAAAAAAAAAAAAATACAAAGTATATCGTACGCTTTCAGTGGCTCAAAATCTATAAGCGAAGAGGCCAAGTAAATATATTAAATAGTTGTTTGCATATGTATTATCTCACGCTTGGTGTTGACCTATATAATAGCTGTGAAAGCTATGTGTACTATATACACACACTAATCATATGAATGTACTCGTATTAACATTCCATAAATTTGTGGCAGAAATTTCAATAGAAAATGATATGCAAAAACTTTTATATAAATTTAATTAAATCTGGGTCAATATTGATAAATTACTTAAGCGCCAAAATATTTTCAGTTAATGATTTAACTCTTGCTAATTTTCCTTATTCGTATTAACTTTAAATACATTTATTAAGGCTCCCTGGCTGCTTTTATTTTGAAGGGAAATGTAACTAACCAAACGTGGAATAGAATTGCACCTCATTTTGCCGATTGGGTTGCTCATCAGCCATACGATATTCCTTCTCCAAGTTGTATAAGTCGAAGACTGCTTACTGAAATGTTCCTAATGTCCACAAAAAGTCCCATTCCACAAAAAGAGTACCTTTTCTCGAGTGCCCTTTAAGTTTCCAGTGGTGACTGTTATATCCCGTCGTCTTCCTTTTACCAATCGACATACGCAAGTGTAGGTACTGCAACCTCAGAATCCTCCTGACTCTTTAGCAGTTCCGATATTCCTTGGATAAACCAGCGAAGAGCAGAGGGCCATACTAGCTCAATTGGGCACCATTTTTCGCTTCCATGCAAGCCCTCATGGCCTAGAACCTACCCCTGGTAAGCTTTAAACCGGTTACTAGTTTGATAAATACACCTTCCACCACCAGCTGTCTGTTAGCCTTAACACCGCGTTTTACGCGTATATTTCAATTGTGAAAATGTTCATCTGAAAAGACGTTGTATATGTGCTCTTTTTATATATTTCCAATAACTATGTTCAAAGTTTGAACTTCAAGCACGCCATCCCGGTAGATTTTTCAACTTCATCATCGCCTTTTGATCGTCGAGGTTACTAATATTGTAAGGTGGAGTGATATACCTACTGTTAAATAATTTTATAATTCATAGGAACAGAAGAGCGAATAGGTTCACACAAAAATTTAAACAACTCTATTTTGGAGCCACCTATCGGGTCAGGTATATTTTCCATATTGCTACTAACGTGCATAATAACTCGACTCCTGCGCCACCTACCTACGGCTAAGTAACTGAAGCTCATTGCAAACGGTCAGTTTGGTGTGAGGCATAACTGAGCTACTTATAACAAAAAGCCTGTCGCCTACTCTTGCGCTTTTAAAGGCCATTAGTTGAATCAAAAGTTGGCAGCCGACCAACTTCGTTGAAAGGCCGTTTACACCAAGCGATTTTTGCTTTCACCAAAAAGTTGCCCGTTTTTTCAAAGCTGGTTGACAGGATAAGCGTACAAATACTTTTTCAGAAATTACGGCAGATTCCGAAAGGTTTCCATAAAAGGGAGAATCTCTAACCACCACACCGATCTAGTGATCGATGACAATGTGTGACGAAGTCGAGGAGTCGATAGCAGGATTCTGTGGGATATTTTGGGGTCTTTATGCGTAGGTCTTGAAGAATGCCTTAGATAGTGGAACGATGAGCTGTTTGAGCTCATAAATGGATTTGACCTTATCTTCTTCTTCTTCTTTGTCGGTGCTGTAACTACCTAAGCGATTATGGCCGGATCCACAACAGCATGCCAATGGTTTATTTTAAAAAAATTCCAGGGGAGGAACTTCCCTAAAGCTGCCCGTATTGTTTTAATTTTTTAACATGAAAGGTTTTTTCTCTTCAATGAACTATTTTTTTTTTTGTAAAATTTAGCTGAACAATTCACATCTACCTACACTA